ATTTAAAAATTAATTTTCGACCACAACTTACCAAATTAATTGGTCACATATTATTTCGAGGTCACAATTTATAGGTCATAATTAACTTCATTGGTCACTGATCAAAAAATTTATAGATTACAAATTTTTAATTGATCACGAGTTAAAAAAATTATAGATAACAGGGATCACATTTCCAAACTTGTTAGTAACAGATTATCAAATTTTGAGGTCACAGTTTAATAGTTAGTCACAGAGAACCGTATAATTGATCACATACACCCAAATACCCGTTCCTCAATCTCAATCCACTACCAATATTTGGTCACAAATGGACTAAATAGTTGGTCACAAATACTCTTCGTCGTATCCTTGCCGTCGCCGCCACAACCATCCACCAACAATAACAAAAACAACCACCACCAATCAAACAACCAACAATAGATCCGCCCAAACTACCAACAACAGATCCGCCCACACAAAGCCACACACCAACAACAGCCAACAACTACACACACATATTTGCCACCAACAAAACCTAGACACACATCAGCCACCAACAACAACCACTCACACAAATTTGCCCCACACCCACAGATCTGCTACCTCTCCGTTCCTCAACTCCGATCCGCCACACACCCACAGCAAAGTCGCGACTGTGAACGGCGACAGCGTAGCCACGCTAAACTGCAACATCATCACGACGCTACTGTAGTTTAAAGTAGCGTCGTCGCGATCCTGCAGATAGAGACGAGGGAGAGAAGGGGAGGGGAAGGGAAGGAAGGAAGGAAGGAGAAGAGAGGAGGAGGAAAGCAAGGGAAAGGAGGAAGGCGAGAGAGAGAGAGGGAAAAGGAGTAGAGAGATAAATTAGGTTATCAATTAGGATTTTAATATAGTACCTAATTTTTGAATAAATAAACTAGATCTGAATTTTAAAAATCAATCTTTAATTACTTGATTTTATGTAATTTTCACTTTTTATTATTTATTTAACCGACCCTGCTTTCCGAAAGTTGAGCCCACACACTACGGCCTACAATTTGGACACAGACCGCCTTTGTATTGACTTGACGACGTCGTTCCGAGCCGGAAAATCCAGTTTCTGTTTCAAGAACCCTCCCAAATTCTTTAAACTGAGTTTGACAATTTTTCATGTGTATATATGTGTGACAATTAGCAACTATCTTTCTTCATATGGGAAAATCTCCACGCCTTTCGAAAGGGCGGCGCGAATCGAAGAACGAAAGCAGCGAGAAAAAGAGGAAGAGGCCGACGATGGAGGACGAAGAAAGTAGTGGCGGAGAGGCCGAGAAACAGCGGGGTTTTCGGCTGTCGGAGGTGATTTCAGATTGCATAAAGCGGTGGTTCGTTGATACTCTCAAGGAGG